AGCGAGGCGCATTTAGTAGAAGGCTCTGAATAAACCATGAGAATGCTTTAAGAGGTCGAGTAGTCCGGATTGGAAAGGTTCTCAGGTGCATGAGCTGTGGATTGGATGTAATGTGTTAAAATTTCCTTGAGTAGTGGGTATCTCAGTAATTTCGATTTGATGTATGAAATTTAAGATGATGGGTCTGTTGTAATAAATATGTTATTTTTTGAGAAAGAAAGATTATTTCTGAAGAGTAGTTGGATCAGTTGGCGTTTAGTCAACGGAACATATAACAAGCAGGCACCGGATTTCAATGCAAAAGCGTATTTTCCCCCTGAAGTACCAAAGTGTGATCCCTTGATTAAGTTACCATATTTCGTTACGGAAAAAGAGGTCATTTCTTATAAAAAACACACCTCATTGAAAATGTTTTAATAAAATAATTTGTTTTTCTTAAAGATAAAAAAATTACTATTAACAAAATGAATGCTTTAATCACTGTCATCACTTTCACAATCACTAAATAAGCCTACTTCTTTATTATTAATGTCTTTTACACTTTCCCACCATAAGTATTTGGTGAAAGATAAAATCTCCCTCAGCAATTACACCTTTGTTTTCTTTGCTTTGGCCTTTTTTCAGTATATCATTAAAAACGGCTATTCTTTCTGGCATTCTGCTCGAAACATAAACACCCCAGAGCAGTATTAACCCCACAGCAGAAGCCAGCAGAGTTGTATTAACACAGAGCACACAACCTATAACCAGCACCAGCATATAATATACCGTGGATTTTTAAGGGCAAAAAAATCCTTCGTATGCCTTCCTTTGTAGGGAAGTAAAGCCGGCTGTCCCATGTTAGTATATTTACTTGCATGTAAACAATCCTCAAGCCTAAATGACCCCTCTGAGCTAAATTGAAATCGCCTGTTGCGTCGCCCAAGAAATACCTCCTTTCTCCGCTAGTTAGTGAAAGGAGGGTAGCGTAATTTTCGTGGTCAGATTCAGGTCATAATAAGGCATTAATTCAATTCAATTTAATTCAATTCAAATTCAATTCATTGTACCAGCTAGGAGCAACACTGTTGCACTTCATAGAGTAAATGTCGTAGATACAGTTCATCCATGCTTTTTGGCGGTGTTTCTGAGAAAGTTGAAGTTAAATGTCATCTATTTATACAACAATGAAATCTTATGATGTCAGGGACTCGAAAAAGTTAAGAGAAAACACGCTGTATCCCTTACACATCATACGTCTTCGAAATTAACTCCCTTTCCAATTGAAAAAATTAAGATATTTCGTCCTTTATTGTAAGATCCACCCGGACGGTTTTTGTCACTTGAAAAAGGGAACATGTCTGAGGAAAAGGGGACATATGGTAACCCTTTCCCTTGGTATCGTATTACAAATTGCTAATTATTCTGCCTAATTTCAATGATTTATCGTCACTCGTATATTTTACTATATTGTCTTCAAAAATTTAATATTTGAACTTGTAATGTGTTTCTGTACCGGTGTTTTATTGAAGCTAATATACATTTCTTGTATAGGTGGTATCTGAATTATGCATGGTATTTGTCAGGAAAATAATGATCGTTTCGAGTATTTCGCATCGTCGACATATCGACAATCGGAAACGCTGATGAACCCATACACGTTATACGAACTCTCGAGTCGTAAACAGGGCTCCCCCTAGAAAGGTGAGCGAAAGGGGTTGCGGAAAAAAAAGAACTCTTTTCTCAAAATGAAAGTGGGCGCTACGAAATCTTTGGAATTATGGTCAAATTTTGTTCTAAATAATTGTTTCATGAAATTTAGTGTCAGACATTGTGGAAATTAATACTAGATTCGTTCGAAATTTCATTTAACAATAAAGTTAAAGTGCCGAATAAATGTACTGTGTACAAAAATTCTTAGAAACAATGCTATACTTCATAAAGCATTTTTTTGCATATTTGTAAAGTTTATACAGGATAAATTCGTACGTATTTCATAGATTTTAGTGCATATAAATCCGGTCCCTAATAAAACGTAATGTTTAGAAGAGTAGATGTCACACTATAAACCTGCATATAAATATAGCTTTACCATGCGCCGCTAATGTTAGGCTCTCTTTTTGCTGTTTGTGGTAGGAGTAGACCCAAGGGTGTGGGTTGCTGTTTTGTTCGCGATACTATAAAATCAAATATTTTGTTACTAAGTTTTCTATAACACGGGAAAGAAAATGTATTGTTTTCAAATGCTGCTAGCCTCCTTTGTTGGCACTTTTATTCGTCTTTCAACTGTTTAAAACGTGGGAAATAGATTCTGGCGCTCATGAAAACATGCGTAGATAGTAATTCTCTCCTACACGATACTTGTAGATTTTTGTGTTCTTTGACGACATTAAATGTAATCAAATCACCGTAGTAATGAACCGCTGTTTTACCATCACGTTTTCCATGTCGATGATCACGCACCATTTCTACTCTGCCTACACACTCCCAAGTCCATTTCATTATTTCATACATCTAATATGAAAATATAAATGTGCCTGTCTTACTAAATGGATTAGCATATGTGTATCTCGTAAAGCCGCCGCCTCCTCGCCAAAGCCAACCATCTACTCTCATGACCCTCACATAGAAGCTGCCTTGACTCCAATTATAACCCATTTTCAAAACACCATCGAGCAACTATTAATTATGGTGAACCAAAGACTGTATTCTCTCCTGCAAATGTTCAGCAACGTCCATTGCATGACACCTTACATTATTCGTAAATTTCATCAAATATAAAATAATAAAAACTTATCTCCATGATATCATTCCCGTCTCATGAAACTCCATTCCACCAATTCCAACCATAAGATGACACATGTGTGTCTTAAACAAATACAAATTCTGTAGGTGCCCAATTGAGTTAACCGGAAATGTAAAGTTGAATCATAAATGCATGTGTGTGTGTGGGTGTGTGTTTTACTCTGAAACCATCATGTATAAAGCCTAAGATCTAATCAGTGAATACAAGACTACATAGTTATCAATACATGTACATAGTTAAGTACATAGTTAACATACAATACAAGTTGTACATAGTTATTTATGCACCAAGGGCGTTACAGGGGTTATAATGATCGAGAAGCGACGAAATGCTCTAGGGCCGCTCCATCAAACCCGTTAACGCCAGTAGTTCACACATCATTTTATTTTTTGCCTACTTTCATTGATTCAGATTTACTTATTTCTCATTATATTTTTAATTTTAAGTCAAACCTGGAGATCCTGAGAAGATTCGAAACAAAAACACTGAGATATATATGCAACGCTCCGTGGTTCGTCACCAACAATAATTTGTACAAAGATTTGAATATCTCAACAATGACAGAGACTATCTCGGAGAGAAGCAAGAGGCATCAGAAGAGACTGGGATGCCACCCGAATCAACACTCAGTGAACATGTTGGACAATAGTGAACATGTGTATAGGCTAAAGCGTGAACATATTCTAGACTTACCCTTTAGATTCTCTTCATAGTAACTTCTATCATGTATACCATTTACTAATTGTTCCAAGTGAACAGATTGTAAATTAGCAGAAAAAAAAAGAAAAAAATATGTTTAATTATGTTCCCCTGACCCCTGGCGGGGTCTCTTCGAACGGCGGGTTGTTCTTTTGGGCTTTTGATCTCTCCCCCGTACGGGGATCGGGAGTCTGGATTGTCGGTAGACGGGCTATTTTGTTCCTGGAGAGAAAGTTTGTTTTATTGGGGTTTTGGATGACGGGGTGGGAAAGAGATGGGATGGGTTGAGGTGGGAAGTAAGAGGTGAGCAGGGAGTGGAGAATGGAGGCGGCGGATTTGTTGTCGACGGCGACTTCAGCTGTGTCAGTCATGTTTTACAGTTTGTTGTCAGTTTTTTAGTCGTTTGTTTGTCTTTGCCCTCTGGCTTAGGTGTTGGAGGGGGAAGTTGGAGGATGTCTAAGGGATGTCGGGGTGGGTTTCTGGGGATGTGGTGGTGAGGAAGGATGAGGTTTCTGAATAGAGGGTTGTTGATGTATTTTTCGATTTGGGCTATTGCGGAGTTGTGGAGGTATGTGAGGGTGTGGGGTATTTTGTTTCGGTATCGTATGGAGTTGTAAATGGTATACTACATGGGTGGGTGGAAGAGAAAGCTGATGTGTGGTTTTCGACGCGGGTTAATTTGGTGTGGTTGGTAAGGGTTGTAGCGAACCACTTATCTCTTACTTATTTACCACTTACCAAGATGTTAATTTGACTGGGTTTGCCATTTTATATTTCCTTCCCATAATTTCCTTCCCATAATTTCCTTTCATAATTTCCTTTCATAATTTCCTCCGTAGAAAAACATGTAGCATCATTCAACTGTTTTCATATTTCCCTCGCAACCACGACCCTCTCGATCCAGGTAAGTTATGCAGTGAATTTCGAGCTTCGTATCGAATGCAATAAAACGCTACAAGGTATTATCAAAAATAAAATGAATTTAAAAATAAAAATGAAAATTCAACCAAACGAAGTGGCTCAGTGTGTAGCGCGTTGGATTCGCTTTCGGGAGGTCCGGGTTCGATCCCCGGGCCGGCCATCCAGACCGAGGTTTTTGTGATTTTCCTAGGTCACAAGACGAATGGGGTGGTTCCAAAAATCCTACGAACAATTCCCACTACCTCACCTAAGACCACCTACCATCATCCTACTCATTTCATCTATCTTCACCACCCTATAATAATAATAATAATAATAATAATAATAATAATAATAATAAAAATAATAATAATAGTATCCTATCCATCCCTCTCATTGATATTCAAGGATGACAACCTTGTCTTAAACAAAGGGTGTAGGCAAAAGACTAATCCCATAATTCCATGTTGATATCTTGAGAATAGAATACTCGGAGAAAGAAATGTGTCGCGTGTCAGTAGTGGCCATTAAGCGAATAATAATGATAATTATAATATTGATAATAATATTGATAATAATGATAATAATAAAAATTCACCGCTCTGTTTATTGCAGGATGCGTGGGGCGGCGGCAGCGGCAGCAGAGACGGGGCCTGGGCCAGGTCCGGGACCAGGGCCGGCGGCGGGAGCGGAGACAGAGGCGGAGCGACTAACCGCCCGAGCTGACCCTCTGCCCAACTCGCAGCCGGTGAGTGGCCGCTGTGCCCTGGTTCATTCCTACTCAATTCCATAGTGTACTCATTTTTATTGATACTTTCTGAGCCCGTCGACTGCCCAGGTCGTTATCCCCGTAAGTAAACTGCAAGTTTATTTTCATCGGGGTGGCGGTGATCTTCCCCCGCTGGATGGCGAGATCCGGTGACGACCTACCGTCGGCTACAGGGTTTTCCCCTACCCGGTATCTCCCACCAGCACGGCACCGCCCCAGCCGGGACGAGCTCAAAGCTTCCGACCGGTCTCCCAGAATGTGTGGTAGTGTAGTACATGTTAGTGTAATTCCCATTCACAATGCAAACATATACATAAACATGAGCATGGCGTTAACATAAAAGTTAGGACTACGTCCATAAGGGGACTCATTCACAATACGTTCGCATAAGTACGATACGTAAGACGTTAACCTAAAAGCTTGCAAGCTTCAAGCTTCTGTGCTTATGCTTACGTAAGACATAAGAAATGAACCAATTACAGAACGGTAACTCAAAATCGAGAATCGAAATTTGAGCAAAGTCGATAGAAGGACTAACGCCATATGTCGGATGGATCCATATGTATGGACACAGTCGATACCTTGATATCTATTCTCACATCCAAACAATAGTAAACCAGAATGTCTCACAGCCAAAAGTAACTCTTATTTTGTTCACGTTTGTTAATGGGCCTTAAGTGTGTGTAAGCGGTAGGACTGGACAAGGAATGGGAAGAAAAGATCGTGAGCGATCCGTGTCCCGTTTGTTAGGGTACTACTCGGGTATTCACCTTGTGTTGATCGGAGAAACCACAGGTAACTACCGATCAGAGCAGCCGGCCGCTCGAATTCTACTCCTAGTGTATTCCTGTTGTCAGTTATCCTGTCCTAGCAACGGGGTGTTAGAAAACCCTCAAATTACAATCAGAATGCTTTGCGCGTACGTGGAGACAATTTCGAAACCACGGGAATGTGCAGTTATGTAAAGGTATGTAGGTTTGCTAGGTATACTAGCAATAATAACTTGCGAGTCGTAAAGAAGTTACGTAACTAGTGAACTGTAAGACAGAAGCCTTGAAAATAAATTGTTGTTTTTTGTTATCGAGAAAGAAATTATTTTCTCATAGATGGAGCGACCGACGGAAAGTCGTACGTACTTGTCATAGTAATTGTCAGTAAGTCATACGGAATTGTGACGTTACAGTTCCTGAGTGATAAATGCACAATTTCTGAGAACTTTCAGAAAAATATTTACAAATTTATGACACCAGCAAAGAAAAATACCCTAGGTATTGTACGAGAGTTACGGTGTTTTCACTCTGATAAAACATTCCGTTAGACAATACGTGTGTTGTTGTAATATGTATAACTATTGTGATATTTTTTGTGAGTTATTTGCAAACCGATACTGTGATATTTCAAATTCTCCTAAATTTATAGTGACCACAAACATTTTCTAAGCAATATCAGTATAAATTATAATATTAATATATTAAAATATATTAATAACAAATTTAAAAAAAAATCTCACTTTTGCATTACTTGCATCTCATGGGGTTCGCTTTATTATGAGTTCATCAGTATATCAAACTGTAATCATTTATTTACCTACAGTAATAACAAAAGCATTTTTTAATTCATCTGATAATTATTACTAGTTTTCCAATCAATACTTGCATAAATTGAAAATATGATTGGTTGAGGCCACGCGTGATTATTTTACACAGTAAATTCGTGTTAAACTGCTTATGTTTATTTGTTTTGAACTTCAAAAATACCCCAATCAAATATGGAAGAGTATATTTTATCAGATATTGTACACATATTTGAAGGGGAAATTGGTATAGCTTCGGTCCCTCTAGGAAGAGTCAAAATTGCATAGTATCAAGCATGTGTATTTCTTAAACACTCGGTGAAATGAAAACAAGATAAATTTATTGAACATCAAAACGGCCGAAACTGTTTAGATGAAAATGGCTACATTTATGTTCAGAATTTATTTAGCTTCCAAGAAGGGGGCCAATTTGGAATATTTTTCAGACGAAAATCTTCAGCGGAAGAGAGTAAATGAATGAAATGAATCCTGGAACAAAGACCATCATCCACTTCGTAGCTAAATTTCAATAAGTACTAGAAATGCTTTGGAACATTTTTTACATTTACTTGATTTGAATTGATGAATTTGAACAAGCCAAATTGGTAGGAGGTGATGTGAAATTTATGATGTTCTAATCAATATAAAGTTAACATCGAAGGTCTTTAGTGGTGCATTAAAGTTCACTAACATTTCGAAATATGGAAAGCATACATATGAAGCACCTTGGAGAGTATGTGATCACGGGAGGGACAAGTGAAAGTTCTCTAGCAAGGGTGATAAAACTCTGCCTGATCTTGATTGATTACTGATTCCGAGCACGTCAACTGCTAAAGTTGTTAGTCCTGTAAGTGTAGTGAGTTTTTTTATCGTGTGAGATCTTTCCTCGCTGGATGGCGATATGCGGGACTGACATAGGTCGATTTGCGGGAATTTTCGCCAAGGTACTTCCTACCAGCATAGCACTACCTCAGCGCGGCGATGGTGTAACGGTTAGCGTATTGGACTGGTATAAGGTATACACAAATTGGCGGGTTCAAACCCGATCGAAGCCGTGGATTTTCGCGAAAAAACCCTTCGTACGCCTTCCTTCGGAGGGGAAGTAAAGTCGGCTGCCCCATGTTAGTAGATTTACTTGCATGTAAAAGATCCTCCAGCCTAAATGACTTAGCCTTTGAACCAAATTCAAAAATCGCCTGTTTCACGCCCAAGAAATACTTCCTTCCTTTGCTTGTTGGTGAAAGGACCGTAGCGAAATTTGCGTGGTTTGCGAAATTTGCAGACAGAAGAACGGGTCTAATGGCATAAAATAAGGCATCAATTCAATTCAGCTGCGACAATCTCTACGCTTCCTACATGTGTGGTAGTGTAGTGCACGTAAGTGTACGTGTACATGTAAGAATGTTTGTAACTAAGTGATGA